GTATTATATATATTATTGGCTCAAATTCTATTTAATCTCATCAGTCAACTTATCTAATCACAAACTAATCACAAAATGAAGATTTCCGCCCATATGCCAAATACATATCATCATTTAACTATCATTAGAAAGAGGTTGCTATAATTATGCTTCTAATGGATGACGTAATATGAAACTGAAAGTAAAATATGGAATTTAATTCTTTTATAACTATTAGATATTTATTATAAAAGCCATAAATTTATGTGAACCTTATTTTAGGATGAATTCAGGGAGTTTATATTCTTGTTCAACCAAGAGCAAAGACATGTACTTATGTATATTTTAATTTCTCAGAATGTCAGCGTAGAACTTCGTTAGTTAAATAATAAGAAGTAGAAAATTAATAATATTATGCTTATTGGAATTAGTGATTTTTTATAAACAATTATTTGTAATTGCTACTTGAGCTGCCATATTCACTTTTGAACAGTATTAGTACAAATTACAGTCAAACCTCTCTAAGTGCACGCTCTTGGGACCACACTTTAACAACATGCATTTAGAGAATAACAAGAAAAGGTGCATTTATAGAGGTCAAGTAATTTGGGCTAGAATATGAGCGTGCATTTAGAGAGGGTGTGCATTTATCGAGAGGTCTGACTATAGTAACAAAAAGATTAATAATTATATAAAAGTGGTTTAACTTTCTTTAATTCTCGCCTCTCTTATTAGATTTAGCACCTTATACCAGTTTCTCCAGTTTTGCACCTTTCGCCAGTTTCGCCACTTCGCCATTTTAATTTTTTTTGGCGAAAGCCGAAGCTAGGTTTCGCCTAACAACACTAGTCACTGACAATCGGAAAAAGTCACTGACTATCGGAAAAGTCACTAGCTAACGGACTATCGGGAAGAGTCTCGAACTAACAAGCAAAAAAAATAACACCCCTTTAATGTTTCTTATCATAATTTACTTAATTAGCTAACAGTATAGCTAGTATTATTGGTACAACTAGGAACCGGAAACCGGAGCTCATTATTGTCATATTACACAAACGCGTAAACATGCATAATTTTCTTACACAATGTACAAACATAGGCACGCGGCGTTACAGACGAAAAATACCAAAACTACTTTTTTGATCTTTTTATTATAAATGCATCAAAATTATAATTACTGCCATCAAAGTGCATAGAAATGAGTCCTCCGCTTCGCTCCGAACAATAATATTTTGTAGTTCTATTTATATTAAATAAAGACCCTCGTTTCCTCATGACAACACTACTAAAATCTCTTTCGCTAACAATAAATCGATCTTAATAACAGTAATAAATAAGCATTAGTTATAGTTCTTCTGTAAGACGTAACTATCGGTAGATTAGTTGCATAAATTATCTATTTATATCCACTTAGTAGTTACGTACAACGTACGTATGTAATCTTTATACGCAGCAGGTTTAAATTTGCTATAAAGTGGCGTGAGTTAATTCTTAATGTTTTTGCAACTTTTTTAAAACAATTTTGTATACGAATTATAAAAGAATGCATCAATATGGGCTCACTTTCATCGCAGGGGGTTATCCAAAGTCAGTTCCTTTGCAAAATGTTTCTGTTGAGGCGGACAGTAAATTTCTTTTTACATATATACAATTTACTGCATATAATATATATTTCCTTTTATGTCACTAATGTTCTTTTAAATTTTAATTAGTCGTTGATATGATAGCAGAAAGTAAATTAATTTACATATTTAATTATTATTATAGTTTAATCATGTTTAATGTAACTAATATCCTTGCTCGTATAATACTAGCAACGGTTTGTCAGACATATAAAAATGTTGAAAACGATACGATTGAAGCCATTTATAAATTCCCACTTCATGAAGCTGCAGCAGTATGTGCATTTGAAGCTGAGATTGATGGAAAGAAAAAAGTTAAAGGAATTGTCAAAGAAGCAAAACAGGCAGCGCAGGAATATGACAAAGCTATACAGGTAACATGAGATAACTATAAATTTATAAATAAAATAATTTAAATAATTGTACGTACGTACGTATGTGCATAGGTTGCTTGCGCATAGTATTTACATAATGTTTGTTTATAGCAAGGTCATGGGGCTTATCTCTTTGAAGAACAACTCCCGGATATTTTCCAATGCTCCGTTGGCAATATCACTGCTGGTCAAACTGTTGTTATTAAAATCAC